AGGGACTACTTAAAGGATTTTACTGGATGGGGCTATTTTTTTCCATATATTAGGAATATAGTCGAGTGTCCATTTTAGTGTAACAGACAAAAAGCCAGAAATTTCTCTGATGTATTGACTTCTTTGTACATTCTTTACTGAAGATACAGAATGTTCATTTATTTCCTCAGGAAGCCTTCTCTGTCATAATATTTTTATTTACCCTTATCATAGAAATCTTATCCCATGCGGAAAAATCTATACATGGCGGATTAATATGGAGAATTAAGAACATATATAGTAGATCTAGAATCCCCATATGACGTATTAGAGACAACTCCTGAAGCCAGTAGTAGCGGTCTGTGGTGTGATCCTTAAAATAATTAGATGTCTTATTTCTCTATAACTCTACGATAAATTATTGGGCATTCTGTAAATTCACCGGTTTGTTCACGACGGAATAATTTTTCGACAATACCAATCACTACTATAATATATCATGGTCATGGATGTGATTCTATAAGAGACAGCTGTCTAATCGCGTTATACAAAATCCTAGTATACTCAAATAAAATGACAATTCAATTGTAATCATTGATTATGTCTGGGTAAGAGTACAGTCTTGTTATATTATTGTTGCCAGTGAATAATTATTTACCTCACTGTTAATGTTAATATAGTGCAGCAATAGTTACAGATATGTAGATACGTATATAGATGGATCCATATACTTATTCATATTTTCTATTATTCCAACATAAAATTACAGGTACTTCTTTAAAATAAGGACAGAAGGGTTCGTAGTATTAATCAAAATTTTGTACTTTGATATCATTGATTATCACCATATGATAAATTCGTCTATACATCATAGCTCATATCAGAAGGGATGCCATAATTTATAACGGCAACAGTTGTAATTCTTTGTCTTCGGTAATAATTATATTCATCTCTGTTCTTCATATGCCTCTCAACTGACGTCAATAAATAGTTCCGTCAAAGCAATATTTACATATGAATTGTATGAAGCACAGAATTCTCCTACAGAAAGGAAAAATGATCTTATTATGGACCTGCTCCTCTTTTGACTGCGTAACAGTCATCTAAAATGTTATATTACAGTCAGATTTACTATTGAATACTATATTATAAATTTATCAAGGCGGGGCAAATTTACCACTCAAATAAAGTCATTCTCTATTACTATCATTATCTTAATATACAAAGATGGAAAGTTAATCCAGAAAGTAGATAGCCTCTACTTATTTAATAACTGCCATGTCCTCCCTAAAAATTAAAATATAAAATACGAAACCCTCAGAAAACTAATCCTCGAAAGCAGAAGAATCACTGCAGTAACATAGAAAGGAAATATCTGTCTAGAGTAAATTATAGAGGGTAGGGTCTTATTAATAGAACCTCAAATCATGCGTCAAGGCATTTCCAAATTCCCATTATGTACTGGGAAGGATAAAATACAACAAAAGTCAACATATAAAATGACAAAACGGGTCTTCTCCTTAGAGATATAGGCCTATAGGAAAACATGGTTCTAATTCATCGAATACAGATAGAAGTTCGCGTATGATACTTGTTAGGGAAAGCAACTCCATCACATTAACATCTCATCAAGATATGTGAACAAGTATATTAATAACCCCATTCGTTAGCCTAAATAGCCATACATAATGATGAGCAAAAGTAAGAATAGAAGAAAAGGCAAACAAGAACCAATATTAGAAACTGATTGTGAACACCTGAGCCGCCAACCTTAAATCAGGGAACTACCCGCGAAGTATAACAACCAATACATAGATCCTAACACCTGGGAAATATAAGCTAGAGCTTACCGCAGAACAGCGAAACAATAAGGATTAGGCTCAGATCCGGCCACGCAGAACCCGGAATCCTAAATCCTAAAAAAACTAAAAAATAAACGAAAGCTCCACACCTAGAATCTAAATCCTACATCCTGAATAAATAGGATCTACACCCTAATCAACAACTCATAACCAATAAATCGGCACACTGAGGAATAACTCCTGATCCCAAAGTCATCCACCTGAAGGATAGAGAATGAGATTTAAACCTAAGTCTGGCAGAAGGATGATACAAGGTAACGCCCTCAAAGCTGAAGGCTAATCAAACAGACTCTGAAAGCGGAACATAAGAGTACACCCTGAAGGATAACCCATAAGCCTGTCACGTGAGCCCTAAACCCTGAATGCTAAACCTAAACCCTGAACCCTAAACCCTAAACCCTAAACCCTGAACCCTAAACACTAAACCCTAAAACCGGAACCCTGAAGCCTGAAACCTAAATCCCTGAACCCTGAACCCAACCCCCTAAAAAATCAACCTTACCCCCTAAACACTAACGCTCGTCCTTAAACCTATCCCCCGGAAACTGACACGTGGAACCTAATCCCTAAACGTAAACCCCCTAACTGGAAACCCTAGCCGCTATATCCTGAACCCTTGAACCCTAACGCCTGAACCCTAACCCCTGAACCGTGAACCCTAAACCCTCAGGCCTAATCCATCCCCCGTGGACCCTATGACCGGAACAGTGAAGCGTAACCTTCCCCCCTACCACATAGTCCCAAAAAGGTAATCATAACCCGTTACCCCTAACCCTAAACCCTGGACGTAAACCCAGAATCATAAATCCTAAATCGTAACCCTAACCCCTAAATCCTGAACCCTAAACCCTAAACCCTAAACCCTGAACCCTGAACCCTGAACCTTAAACCTAAACTCCGACGGCTGAACCCTGAACCCTCAAGACTCATCCTGAATCCTGAACCGTGAGGCTACACCCACGGGCCTAGACTCTAATAGTCAGCCCCGAATGGTGAATGGCTGGACCCTTAAGGATCTACCGGTAACCCTAGATTCTAATCCTTAACTCCAACCAACAAACCCAAGATGCAAACTCTCCTATTCCGCAATGTTCGGTCCCCCTTTTCTAATCGGAACCGCGAACTCCCCAGCGCAAATCATCCGAAAACTAAAACTAGACGCCGAACCCCCAACAAGAAACCCTCCTTTCTCCACATCAACCCTCAATACTTCCTGAGACGCCTTTAACTATATACTGCGGCCGAAGGAACCTAGGCCTCATGCCCAACAGTGTATGGCCCTTTTCACAGCCGCTAATTTTCAACTCCTAATCGTGGATGACTGCTGCCGGACTCTCCTCTCCCACTGCTCATATCTAGGAGGATCCCCCCCCCGTGCTAGGGTCCTTACTCCCCATGTACTCTCCATTAGTCGATCCTTCCCTGTTTCCCGAGTTGTCTCTTCCATGGGCCCCTAAACACTCTGGTTTTCACTGGCCGGAGTAAAAGGAGGGGATGCCGGCCTCGGGGGATGTGAAGGATGCGGACGGCTCTTCAAAGCCGCGGTCCTAATGCCGTTTCGCCACCCGGAATGGATGAGGCCTCGTCGTTCCCCCCTGCTTTTCCTTCTTGAAAGAAATTCCCTGCACCCTAGGCGTGGAGGGTCTTCGACAGTTCCGTTGTGGTAGGTGGCCTCCCTTTTGTTCTCTTGTTGCTCCCTGGTCCCGGTTTCACGATTTCTTCGTCATGATTTGGCCGGGCTCCACTTGAGCCTTCTTGCATACTTCCCGTATAGGAGATCCCATACCTCTGAGGCTGTGGGGCTCGGGGGGTCCGGAAGATTCTTCTCCAGATATACCATGCAAAGGGTATGAATCCCCCCAAGGCCCCTACGCCTGCGATCCCCTGGATTATGCCTTGTAGTGAAGTGCCGGGGGTGACTGTGTCCTGTCCGGTCTGGTTTTGTTCGGTTGTTTCGAGTAATTTGTCCAGTTCTTCTGTTAGTCTTTGTTCAACGTCCTGAGGCATTTCCTATAAGAGACGAAAATTTAACAAGACGTTTATCTGGATCCTGTTCCTATCAGTTCCCTCCAGTCGGGTTTGGTTTTCCCTCCTTGGCCAGCTTTGCCTGTGGTTCCCTGGGGAAATTTTATCTTTTTGCCTCCTTGTTGAGGTTTGGGTGGGTCCTGTTTTGCTGGGGGGGGGGATCCTTGGTTACGATTTGGCTTGTTGTTGGTGGCTTCCGGTGTCGGGACGAGCTGGTGTCGGAATTGTCTAAACCGTCCCTTGGGGCTGTGTTTTTGGTCTTAGAGATTTTTTGTCCCTTACTCCCCCCCGGCTTGCCGGCCCCCGCCCTTGTCATTTTTCCCCTTTGGGCAAGAAGCCTCCTTTCCTATTCTTTCGTTGTGTTCTGCCTGGCCGTGTTCTGTTTGGGAAAACTTTGGGGCCTTTGGTCTCGGTTAAGGAGGAATCACGCTCCCTTTTGTTCTTACCCACGTAGTATCATCGTCGGCTTCGCAATTTTCAGCTTCGAATGTCCAGTAGCAGCTGGAGTCGTACTTGTCTTCTTTTCCTTGGCCTGTCCTATAGCACTGCAAGCTTGTGATCCTATTTCCTGGCAGATAGAGAGCCTTACTCCACTGTCCCCCTGCGTGCTCTCCTCTTTGGTATTCTCTCCCTCCGATTTTTATTCCGGAGCCCCCCTCTGGAAACCAGAACTTCATTAGCTCTTCTGCTATGTCCTTATTCCCCCACTCCTTAAATCTGCTGTACATTGCCTGACATAAGTTTTCGCCTCCATATGTCATAACTCCCCCCTTCCTCTCACTGTTCCTAAAGACTCCCCAGATTATTGAGACCATATCCATGCATATCATCAGGCTACGGTTCTCTGGCCTAGAAGATGTTAACACAGCATCCTTAGTCATCTGCTCCCATCTGGTGTGTTGCGGGTTCCACTGGCACTTTATGTTACCTCTCAGAGTCCCCCTTAGACCTAAGCTTCTTCTGTCACATTTGGCGTCTCCCCATAGGGGGTTGTTGTCGCATTCTATCAAGCTAGCTGCCCATTTCTCCAGACCCCTGCAAACTATTTCGGCTGCTTTACTAGTATTTGGGAACATGAGATTACCCGGGCCCAATATGTTTGCCCAGCGGTCGTCTACCCCTCCTCGGTTAAAGTCCCGGGTCTTCCCCCTGTAGTCGCAGATTCTCCCCTTCCCAGCGTCTTCCGGGATTTCGTCTGTCCGGCAGGCCCTTGTCTCCTGACTCAAGAGATAATCTAACCACTTGTGGAAACTTGTCATCTCCGTTGTAGATTCAGCGGCGGATTCCCTTTCTACTTCCTCTTGGCCTTGCTTTCTTGCCTATCCTGTTGGCTACCTCCTCTTTGTCTTGGCTTTCTGGCTCACCCCGAACTCTAACTCCTCCGTACTTTTGGTTACGGATCCTGGTGACGATCTTCTCCCTCTTGGTTCCTCGTCTTCCCTCTCCTTGCCAAATGGGCCGCTGAGTCCCCCCCTTGCTTCTTTTCTTTGTCTTCTCTCCTCCTCTTGGGGTCCTGTAGGCCTCCTTCTCCTCCTTCTTGACCGTTTCTTAGGGGGTTGGGCTGGGATTTGTCCTCTTTGTTCCCCTTTTGCGGAGGGCTGCGCCCCCCCGGGAGTGGTGGGGTTGCCCTAGGCCCTGTCTCGGGGACCGGGGTTTCCTATTTCCCCTACTTCGCCTGTTTGGCCCTTTGGCTTCTTTATGTTGCTGGTCCGTCATCTTGGCTTCGAGACCCTGGGAGTTGTTGAGGCAGTGGCCTGGTCTGCCCTCCCAGTCCCGGAAAAATCCTCCCTTTTGTCCTCTATTCTCTCGGTGTCTGCGGCTTTTCGGAATTTCCCCTTTGTCCTCGCACGTGACTACTCCCTCCTTCACCGTCCCGTCTTGCCCTTGTAGCCTGATCCTTCCGCTTCTCAGGTTTAATGGCTCCTTCCCTCCGGGGGTGTTCCTGGGGGGCTCCTGCTCCGGTTCTCCTTATTTCTAGCCCTTCTTGGCGAACTTGCTTCGTGCCCTTATCCTTGGGCGTGACAATCCTCTTCCGGCCCCGGAGTTCGGTCCTTTCTGTTCCTGACGGCGTCTCAAGGCGTCCTGCCCCCTTTTTTCCCCTGGGGAGGCCCCGTTTTGTGCTTCGGATGGACTTGGCCCGGTGTGCTTGGGCTGACTCCTTTCCTTGTCCTCTTGACGGATTCACACGTCTGGATGTTTCTTGAATCCTCTCTGGTCGCCGTCGTTCTTTCATTAGTCTTCGCTCTCTTTTGCTTGTTTGTCTCTTCTTCCTCCCCTGCAGCCCCCCCCTTCAGCCCGTGATTTCCTTAACTCCTTCTCGGCATGAGGGGCTATCCCTCAGCTTCGTCCTATTTGCTGTTGTCATCTTCCTCGGTTGGCTAGAATCTGACTCACTCGCGTCCTGAATCATATCTTTTGCCTTTAGTTCAGTTGACTCTCCTTCTTCTCCGTCTTCTCCTTCCTGAGGTCCCGTTTGCGGTGATCATCTTTTCTCGGCTGTGTTTTGATTTGATCTCCTCGTTTGTGGAGTCCCTGTTCCTTCCTTTATTCTGTCCTCCCTTAATGAAGAAGTTTCACGACGGCTTTCCTGTTGTGATCATCCTCTGGTCTGGGGATTTTCAGAATTTCCTTGTGTTGGTCTCGGGCTCCCTTAATGGCCCTGGTTGTCTAGCTGTTCTTATTTCTTTCTCCTTTATTCGTTTCTATCTGCTTCGTCGTCCTAGTCTTTCCTTGGCAGACGCTTTCGGGCGTCAGTCGCCCCTGTTTCTGAACGATGTTCCCTTTCCCTTGTTCACACTTGGTGAGGGGCTGAGTCTGCATCTTCTTCTAGCGCCACCTACTATTCGCTCCTCCCCTTCCTTTTCCTATGTTTTATTTCAGCCCCCGTCTCTCCTCCCGCCTTTTCGGGCGACTCCTTGTTTTCCTCGTGGGGCGGGCTTATTTTTGTCCTCTCGCTAGTTTTCCCCGACCTCTTCTCTTCACTCGGCTCTTAGTTTTTACGTGCTGCCCTTTTCCTGGCTTCCTGGCCCCCTAGTTCCCTCTTCGGTTTGCTTCTTGTGTCGGGTTTGAGGGGGTACTGGTTTCGGCTGATTGTTGTCCCCGCGCCCCTGGATACTGGACCACGGGCTCCCACTTCAGGCTTCTTGCAGTTGTCCTCCTCCACGGGATTCTGTGTCTCCTTAGCTCCTGCTGGTGTTGTCCCCTGCCTGGTTGGAGTCTGTCCGCATGTTGGCTCCCGGGGAGCCTATTGGTTCTGCACCTGTTCAGTCCTAAATTGCCTTTTCTCAAATGGTTGAGGTTCCTCTCCAAGGCAGCTTTATATTGCCCCGGCTCTGTTGCTTGGGGCTGCTTCGGTGAGCCCTGGGGAGGGGATCCTGTTTCCTCATGAGTTCACCCCCTTGACGCACGTGGGTGTTGCTATACTTTCGGCTTCAGATCCCCTGTTGTCCTCTCCTTGTCCATATCGATCATATATCATAAAACATGCCTAGCCTCCCGTTCTGCCTCCACGTCGCTACATGTTTCTCACTGAGTGGGGGATCCTGGGCTCCTTTTTGGCCCCTGATTCCCCCTTTTTTTGTCGGACCTTCACTTCGGGCTTAGGGGGGCCGTCGGTCCTTGGCTTCCACTGCTCTTTCCACGGGGCGGGATGGAAAACTCGGGGCGGCTTGTGGACTCGTGTTATGACTCTTCACGTCTGTCCCTTTTGACTTCTCAGGCATTTGGATGCTAGGATCGGCCCCTTGTCTCGTGGGTTGGATTGTGCTCCTACCCCATCCTCGGGAATCCTGTCTGTTGTTCTCCTCCCTTTTGTCTGGTGGTGTGTTGTGTCTGTCTTGTCCCTTTGGGGTGTTTGATCTCTCCTAGTACTCCGGCCTCCCCTTGTCCCTGTTTCTTTCTCAGGAGTCCTTCTCTACTATGCCCCCGGCTCTGTTGTGTTCGCGTGTTTGTCTTGTGCCTTTTTCTTTATCTGGATCCTCTTTCTAAGGCCCTTTTCCTTCAGGATACTTCGGACTGTCCTGCCTCATTCTCGCCAGTGGTTCGGTGGTTGGAGGTTCCTTCTCCTCTGGATTCTTCTGGGTCCCCTTATCCTTCTGCCTCCTCCTGCTTGGTGGGGTTAAACCCCTTCAGGCTTCCTGTCTTGCCCGATCACTTTGTTCCTTCTTATTGCTCTTGTCGTCTCCGCAGGTGTCTATCCTTCTCGCGGCGTCTCTTTTATCCTTCGTTTTCCTTGCTTCATCTCAGGCTCCTCTTCTTTGTCCTGGAGATGATGTTCCCTCTTCGTGCTTGTGCCTTTCACTGTCTCTTGCCTGGACTGTTTTGGGTCTTGTCTTTCATGGGATCCCTTCCGGGGGGTTCTTCGAATCTCCTCTCGTTTGTTTAGGTTCCCTATTGTCCATTGGACGATTTGAGTTCCCGCTAACGACATTGACCCTTTTGTTGGCTGTTTTGTCTGGCGCTATTACCCCCATTCGCCTTCTCTCTTCCTCCTTTCGTGCCGGTTTGGCTATTTCTGCACGCTCTTACCCGTTTGTCCTGTTCCGGTTTCTGCGTCCCATGACTTCCTATTTCTCCGTTGCCTTCTTCCGCACCCGTTGTCTAGTCTGTGCTGAGGTCTTAGACCTTTCTTTTACCCTGGGGTTGCGGCCCCCTGGCTCTGCTTAAACCTTTCAGCTGGGGTTCCGAGATCTTTGCTCTAATATACCGTCGGTCTCTCTATCTCTCGAGATCACGGTTTGGGGGTGGTGTTGGTTCGGTTGGAGTTGCCGTTTACTCCTGTGTTTTCTGTACTTCTGTCGGGAGTTTCCCAACTTTTTCCCTTTGGAGTCCTCAGCTCGGCCTCGGTTTTTCGTGCCCCCGATATGCTGGAAAAGCCTACGGCTTATCCTATACTCCTGCCCCGAGATTGCCTTTGTCCTTTCGCTCTGCTCTGGGTTGCCGTGAGTTCCTGCCTCGTTGGCTAATGTTGCTTTTGAGATGAGTTGTTCTTCAGTGGAGACTAAGGAACTTTGGGGGCTTAGATGGGGATCCCTTCTTCTTTGCGTCTTCGTACTCTTGGTACTTGTGTTCCGTGTGGAGTTGGAGCTGGTTTTGGGGTTTGGAGTCTTAGAGAAACTTCCTCTGAACATTCTTAGACTTACGGCTTCTTTCCGCCCGCCTCTTCCGTTAGAAACGGCTTCTGGGGCTGCGTTCCTCGTTTTTCCTTGCCTTGATATAGGTCCTGCTGTAGGTGTGGTTTCGAGAGTCTGAGTATGTCCGCTATGGGATCTCTCCTCCAGGAAGGCGTCGTTAATTTTCTCTTTTTGTTTTAATCCCGATTTTCTTTTCTTCTGACGGTTCCTTGCTTCCATTATTTTTTTCGGGGGTTGTTTGCCCTGGCTCATGTTGTTTGGCTCCTTTGATAAGTAGACTAATGGAAATTTGAGAGATTCGTTGCCTCTGGAGGCTTCTTCTGGGGGTGTTTATCGAGTTTTTCCCCTTCCTGGTTTGTATAATATTCGGCTTTGGTTTAGTCGGAGGATCGGTACAGGAGGGTTATCTATGTTATAGCAACTTTTGTAGGGCTTTCATTTTGTCCTGTTGTGGTGTTCTCACTACTTGGGCTCCAGGTTGTTTGTCCTTTTAAGGTTGCTTTTTTGGAGGTGGCTCAAATGATAACTCTCCAGATAAAGTCCATTGATAGACTGGGCCCGGATTCTATTTGACGCAAGCTCCGGGTTAATATTAGCTTGCCTTAAAAAAAAATTGGTCCTATAGTTGTATTTTTTTCAGAAAATACCTGCCCTTTCACTTGACCATTTGGGTTCCTTTGGTGTTTGGTTCGCGGTAAGGTTGTTTCCATTTGGTAGCTTGCCGGTCTCATGTCTCCTTCGTTGAATAGATGAGTGATGATTCGGCCCCTAAGGATACGAACTGGAAGCTGCGAGTGGGGGTTGGTGGTAGCTCCATTATTTGATCTGGCGAAAGCTTTTAGTTGTTTTCTCTTGTTTTTAGGTTTTGAGGACGGGCTAATACTCTCTTAATAATTCGGGGAGGGATTCAGAGGGAGTCTTGACTAGACGAGAGTCTAAACAGAATTAGAGTTTCCTTATCCTGGTATTGTGGCTTTGATTGACCTGTCGATATCATTGTTATCTATAATCTGATGATATTTCATATACTTTGTTTTTTTCTGTATCGGGCCATCTTTCTCTTGTTTCTCAAGTTGGTTAGAATTATTTTCACAGAATGTTATTAGTTTCAGAGTTCTGCTTGTCCGGATAGAATAGTTAAAGACTTTTGTATTTCCTAGAGTTTACTTAGACATTAAGCTTTGAGGACTCGAGAGGACACTTGTATTCACATACTGAAAGCATAAACCCCGAAGCCTTAATATAACCCATTACAAGAATGAGAATACTTTCCACATCCTAGATGGATCGTTAGAGTCGGGGAGTCTACCAGGGTTTGGGACTGATACTATTATTTTATAAATAGACTTATGCAATGTTCCTTTTGATTTTTTAAATATCTACGCCATAATGCTCTGATTACTTTTTATTCATAACCATTACGGAGACTTGTTTAGTCTGGAGATACAGTAACACTCGAGGATATCCCCATTATCTACACAGAGGTTTTCTTTAAAGAACTTTGCCTTATGCATAAGGAGACTGTTCAGATAATAACCCCTCAAGTTATTTTCCAAATATTACATCGTATGTTATTTAAAATGTTGATGGATTCTACAGAATGGCACTTTTCATCTATTGGGTTCATCCACACGGAATTTCCACAGATATATTGATCTGTGTCAAATAAGGGGTTTCTTGGGGGCGGGCTGGATTCAAAGGATTTAGTCGTCAGAATATTTGGTTATTTCATGAAGGTTTATACATTATTACGGCTGGTACAGGTGTCCAGTTCACGTGGGAGGACACATCTGACATGTTGTAAGAATTTACCCAGGTCTGGCAGTTATCTAATACTATATCAGGTGTATCTCTGAAGTTCATTTAATTTGGAGATTCATATAATAGTATTCTTGGAACACACAAAGTAGAAATAATGTTAGCTCCTGCAGGTCAGTACTATTTAAATCATAGTACTCCGAGCACAGTAGTACTCATCCCCATGATGCTATTTCTTCCATATCAATACTTTGCACACCTGCAGACTATTCATATGATAGTATTCTGGGAATATCAACACTTGAAGTTAAAAAGTTATTTTCACACAAGCGTAATCTAAGGATATCTTTACACTTGGTAGAGCGGTGCTGCTAAAGTCATGAAGCATCACGTAATGCACCACTCTTAATATAATAATACCTGAGGGACTGCTACAGGTTCCACACAGCAGTTTTGTGCATATAATATAAGTCAAAATCCTGGGCTTCGAAATTTTTATCCTCCAGATATTTGTGCTTCAGGCACATCTATAACCTGTGCACCATTGTGTTTCCTAAATGACGCTATTACGCACATATGAGTATACTCACAAATTACTGCTCCAGATTATCCATACTTGCCACGGACGTATTCTATTCAGAATACAATGCACAACAAATATTCCCACAGCTCAACCATTAGTACATTCATATAACAGCACTACGACAACTTCTATAATCATCACCATTCAGAATCCATACACATCCGTACTGTACACGCGTGAATCCTGCTCCAATATTCATACACTCCACGGAATAGTGCTTTCCAAATAATGATCCTCCTAGATTATGGATATTTCACACAGGGAAGTAAGGTGCACATCATAGTACTTTTCGCACTATAATATTATTGAAATAATGGTGTTGCCGACATTTTCTAAGGGTTTTACAATCCCGTACTTCATATAATTGGGCCATTAGACATAAATCGAGGCTCTTCACATAATGCCACTTCAAAGACAGGCAAGCTCATCTAGGGACACCATTTCGTATATAACCGTAATACTCCTCATATGATGCAACACTGGACAGGTCCACGTGGTTCATACCATAATATCCCTCATATAAAACTATTACGGAAGAAGTCATACCATCCATAGTGTAACTCTTTGCATAGGAGAAAACATTATGCCATATATTTTATCCGTCTGAACATAAATTACTCGACAGTACTGATGTAAGTTTGTAAAACTCCGAATAGGAATGTACCAGGCATCTTAAAACTCTGCGGATATGAGTACGGCATATACATATGTACTCTTCACAGAATGATCCTTCCAGTCATCCATATTTCCCATACAACTGTGCATTTCAAATGAAGGTATCATCTAAACAATATTCTTGTTAACATAATGATTTTCCTTGAACATGCATACTCTCCAACAAATAGTACCATAGATATAGTCCCACTAATGAAGCTACCTAGGGGCAGAGACGACGCTATCGGTAGCACAACTTCACTCCTGGAACATCAATACCTGAGACAAAAATGTATTTTTAAGATCATCATAATCCCCGAGTAGGAATACTCTTTAAGTAATAGTATTACATATGGGTCCTGGGAACTCCGCAATCCTGCACCTGTTCCAATGAAGTCATTACAATTACATCAAAACCCTTGACATCCTGATAATCCAAGGATAGGCTTATTCATCGGAGTACATCGACCCCCACATGACAGTAGTTTCCTACAATCGACAGTGTATTTCACACATTAACATACTCGACGCAAGAGTATCCTTCACATAAAGATACTACCGGAACCTGTTCATTCCTCATAAGATAGCTTTCCCCAAATGGTAAAAGGTTACGCGAAATATATCATATCCCCCGAATACCTCAATTAATATGACTGTCTCGACTTCTCCACAATCCAGATGGCGGTGTACCAAGTACATGCGCTATCTTAACAAATCAGCATTATACATGCGTGTGTACCCTCTCCATTTTAGCACTGCAAATCATGAATACTCACTAAAAGTCTCCGCTATTTAAATAAAAGTATTATCGACACGACAATCCTTTGAACATAACGGTACTGCTCGTACACACGTACTTTTCCATAACATACCATCTTAAAGATATAGATATTCATTATGGCACATCCCATAACACAAGATGGTGCTGCTCAGTATGATAACACTAAAGGTCATGAACATATTTGAGGTACTAGCACCTTCATATAAAGGTACGATGGGGATGTTCGGATTGTAGACCATTCAGGATTCAGATAATTCAGTACGGTTTCAGGAAAAGTTGTAGAATATCCATGTACTTCAAATAAAAGTACAACACGTAGGTCCCACCGCTGCTCCACCCATAGAAATGCACATGACTATTCTGCAGACAACAGTAGCCGAAGCGGACTCGTGTTCTTCATGTAACAAAACGATAAGCATGTCAGTACTTTAGAAATATGAGTACTACGCACACGTCAGTAGGCTCGCTACAATAACACTCCAGAAGATCCTTACCCTTGACGCGACTCTGCAGTTCCATTAACAGTGTTATCCGGGTGACGCTGCTATTCAGTTAATAGTACTCCATGAACATCATCACTTCTAAAGCAGTAAGAAACCAGGAATAAATGTATCCTTTCACATATGGGTATATTATTCCTGTTTTGTAATGCTACTACATGAGTATGGTGATGCTATTTATACTTCACATACGTGGCCATCGTCATAAATAGCCCAGGGGAAGAAATATCTTCATAATGGCTTCAGATAGAGAAGAAAAATAGGTCCATGAGAATATTAGGGAAGAAAGAATTCTAATAAAAAACAATGACATACAATACCACATATCCGGAACACGGCAGGCAGCAGGGGCTCTTCACAATGATGTAACGTGAAGAAAAATTTTCACAATAATGGATGCGAAAGAACATCTTCAAAACGACGAAACAGCGAACCGTCGGGGAGATACCAGGAGAAAAAATAATCTTCATAAAAAAAATAGACGACGCAACAGCACCTTAACCATGCCGCGGAACACGAGCATATTCATAAAGGAAATCACACACGAGAGGACATCTTCAAAATGCCGCAAGAAGAGTACATCGTCGTAGAGAACATGAAACACAAACCAAAATCTTCACGATGCCGCGTGAGAAAGAACCCTCCATATAGAAGAAATGATACAAAACCATATATTCAACCTGCAGGCAGAAAATAGGATCATAAGAAATGCCGCGGAACAGAAATATCTTCATAAGAAAAATGCCTCGCGAGGAAATTCCATCGCAATAACATGATAAAAAGAGAAGGAATTTTTATAAAAGAATAGAACAGAAGAATATCATCCATATAACGCGGTAAAAAGAATCTTCGTAAGAATGCCACACCAGCAAAAATTGTCATAATGACATGGCCCGGGAAACTTCATCACAACACGCCAGGACAGGACTATCATCAGAAAGGAAATGCAGCACACAAAACAATCTTAATAGTGACA